GTGGAAGAATGATAGGGTCCTCTCAAGGAAGAAGGCGCAGTGCGAATCTCAAAAAATTTTTTTGAATAGACTCAATCCTATTAATATGTATATCGTAATAGGGTGACCATACTTGTGAAGCATAATCAAGATGAGAACGGACCAGGCATGTGTAGAGTGATTTTAAGACATCATTAATATTATTTAAGAGGATCATTAAACTCTTTTGATCAGCTTTTAATGAAACCTAACATCGAGCTTGATCTGTATATGATATGGTTATAGTGGTTTATAAATGATAACTTGCTATCGAAGCAAACACCCAGATTCATTATTGAATCAACTCGACTAAGAGCTTGGCCATTCAAAGTATAGTTTGTAAAAAATGGCTGTTTTTGCCTAGAGTAGCACATTTGTGCACATTTACTTACATTGATTTTTAGGTTGTTACTTGAGCACCAGCCGTAGAAGCGGTTAAGATCATTCTGAAGACACAACGCATCATTTGTAGAGCTTATTTTTTTTAAAATTTTCATGTTATTAGCATATATAATACCTCACTGTGCGTTAGCATGGAAACAACATCATTAATTGAAATTATGAACAGCAATGGACCTAAGTGACTATCCCGGGGGTACACCAGAATTAGACGAAAGAGGCGAGGAAATTGCTGAACGAAAGAGGACTCTGTAAGCCCTGTCAGAGAGATATGACTTTATCCATGTTATAAAGTTGTCAGGGAGTCCTAAGAGTAAACAAGAATTTATTCTGGCTGTAGTTTTTTATAATAGAGCTGTCTCGTGTTAATAATATTATTAAAATTTAATAATTTTCTAGTTTCTACTATATTATATCAGATTTCAAATATTGCAAGTTTTCATAATTGGTGTCGTAATCTTTCACATTCATTTGAAGACGTTTAATTTCCCTTTTACCCTACACCACAATTCGTTGTATATATTTCTTTTTTTTCTTTCTGACTTTTTGCTACATATTAATTTGAATTTTGTTTTTCGTTTTCTTTTTTTTCTCTCTCTCATTTTTTTCCGGGTCAAGTTAATACCAAAGGTATTCGAAAAGTATCTCTCATATGCTAGGGTAAATCTTTTGAAAACCTCTTTTAATTTTTTAAAAAAAAAAATTCCAAAAAAATGTTTCAAAATTTTTAACAAACTTTTATAGCCTTTTATTTTACACAAAATGTAAAAACAAAAAAAACACAAAATATGTTATAAAAGTAAGAAAATAAGAAATAATGTAAATTTGATGCCCAAACACAAAGAGATGGGAAACAGTGTAGAAGTATGCATGTATGTGAATGTAAGGAAAGAGTATGTAAGTAAAAATATTCGATAAAAATTATAGTTAAATTTAATTGTAAAACTATTTAGACATACTCACATATCATTGCATAATTTTCTATAAATATGTTTTGTAACCAATGGACAATTTTGTGGCAAGCGTGACGGGACTGGACAAGAAATCAAACATTTGAATTTAGATAGACTCCTCAAAAGTACGCTAAATGACAGCCTGATGGTCAAGGTGTATTGGCAACAACACAGAACATTTGTGTTAATCGTGGTGCGGTAGACTTGCTGCAACAGCAACGACAACCAACAAACTAACCATGACCTCAACCACGACGGTCTATGAAATTATTAAAAATTACAAACGACTTAACATTTGAAAATTCAAATTAGTCATACTATCACAAGAGTCCATTAAATACACGGGACTAAAGTCCAAGATGCCAAATAAAAAATTTTGGTTTGTTTATTTGTGATTTTCAAAAAGTGCTTTGAGGGTGCTTTTCGAGCTTTAATCATAGTTAAGTCGCAATTTCTTCGAGTTCTGTCCCTTCGATTGTATTTATTTGTCGAAAAACTTTTTACTACAACACCTATGCTATTCAGAATCACTCCACCCCTCTTTCGAAATTGTCGACTCCAACTTTTTTATATTGTTCTCTTCAATCCTGCATCATATATTTCCACAATAACGATTCAAGCTACGATGAGCTTTAGTTTAAAAAATTTTCAAAACAGTTTCATGAAATTGGAACCGCCCAATTTACCAAAGCAATTCATATAGCATATGTTCACGAAAAGCTTATTGGGTTTTAGTAAAATTATATGTGTATACAGGGGTATATGTATATCATTCCTTTTTTAAAAATTTAAAAAAAAAACAAAAAAAAAATTACAAATTATCAAGTTTTGTTAAAGGTTGCAATTTTAAACTTTTTTCAATCAAAATAGTAAAATAATGTTAAAAAAAAAAAGAAAAAAACAAACTCAAAATTTTTCATTCATTTTTTTTTCCAATAAAAATTTTTGATTGATTTCATTTATATTAATGTATTTGAAATTAAAAAAAAAATATCTTTGTTCAGATACATTATAGACTAACCCTATACAATTACTTTGGCCAACTAAAGAATTAATTCAAATTTAATATACTCATAATAAGTTGTGGCAAAACCACTCATCCGTAGTCAACTTCGTCATATTATAAAACCCACTACTAAATTATTAAATTTTTTTTAAGAATTTTATTTAAATACTGCGTCTGTAGTTCACGTTGACCACGTACTAATCCATTACTTCACTACTCACAAATATGAAAATAAAAACGTTTTGACAAATCCCAATAGACAATAAATCATTCGAAAATACATACAAAATCGAGTAGCCTTAACGAAAGAGGCTCAATGAATTGGATAAATACAACCAGGTCACACTCTGCCGGACGTGTAAGCGTGGAAGGAAATGAAAAAGGCGGACGCGTTGACGAGGAAAGGAGCCCTCACTCGCAGAAGAAAGAAAATGCTGAAGAACTACCTATTCACTACGGTGAACTTGCGGTCCCCGGACCTTTCAAATTTCTTGAATTCGTCGAGGGTGTGGATCGCGATGGGCTTTTGTAGGATCTCGATGGGCTTTTCACCTAGTAAAGGGGTACAATAGATTCTTATATGCTTATGGCGGTGAACTGTTACCGCGTCGGTACAATATCTGTAAACCCATCTGTACAATAATCTCTGCAATTATAAACGTTAAATGAATTTCATTTAGAAAAACAAAATTAAAACCCCTGTACAATTTAAGGATATCAAAGGCAACTTTAGAAATTCTTCAGTTTTATTTGTGTATCATTTTGATGGGGCAGTTTTTCTCTTTTTATTTTTTTTTTTGCTTTTTTGGAATTGATAGAAAATTTTAATTTAAAATTATTATTTCGCTTTTATTTATTTATATACTTATCAATAAAGGAATGGACAAAAAACTGAATGAAAAGTTTTTTTAGAGTTTTTAAAATTTTTTTTTGGAATTTTCCTTTTTCTTTTTTTTGTGATTTCCCTTTGTTATCGATTTCAAAAATATTTCTGTACCTTCTTTTACGAGCGATCGCTCACACATGCAGACATTCATTTTATATAATATAATAGATAGTACATAAATAAGTACAAATTTATAACGGATACAAATGTTAAAAACTGAATGGGAAAGGATTAACTTTTTTAGAAAAAAAATTTCCAAAATTAAAATGAATTTTTTTCTTTTATTTTCTGTAAAATGAAAAAAAGTGGGTTCCAAAATTGTTCGCTTCAATTAACAAAGCAATACAAAAATTTTTTTCATTTCCAAATAAAGTATTGAATCCCATTTTTTTTTCTCTATGTGTACTTAAAAATTTTTGAGGGTAGTGAAATAAAAAATTTCATTTTGTTCTTTTTTTGCTATCTACTTCGAATTTTCTGACCCTATTTTGAATAAAACATTTTTAAAAAGAAAGAAACTTTTTTTTAAAATTAAATTATTTTTTTTTTTAATACGAGTAGTAAACTTTAAAAATCAATCAAAAAATTATAGTAAATTTCTGGCAACATTTGTTTAAAATTTATTGAATAGAAATTTTTATCGAAATCCATTAAAAATTATAATTTTTTTGTTGAGAAATTATGTAAAAAAAGTTCATACATTAACAAAAAATTATTATCTGTATGTGTAAAATTATTACTACTATGGTCACAAATTTTGGTCTCAATACATAATTTCTAGCGATAAGCAGTGGAACATTATGGGCTTTAGAGAGTTGTGGGGTTCTCTCCACAACTCTCTAAAGCCCATTCCACTTCTGGAATTCTCTCAGCATGTCCTGATTAGAAGCTACAGTTTTGAAAAACCTATTGCCTTCCACAAAGCTAGACAATAGAAGGGAGTGGAGAAGCTGAGTCCTTGAGCTATTCAATGGAATCAGACATCATAAAGTAGCACAATAATGAATCGAGAACATTATTGGAGATGTGGAGTGGAGTATATGGGCCGAGAACTAGACTTTTCGAGTCAACGTATCCCAGTATCTTCTAGACGGATATCGGGGATAAGCAGTTACACTGTAATTGGAGCGTTGAACTCATGGTTAATGATCTCTATCGTAGTATGTGGCCGTTTTGATAGGCTTAATGAGTTAGGTAGGCAGAATCGAGATAAATTGTACTGGGTACCGGAACACGTTTGATATAGACCGATTATACCATAAATGAAGAGCATTTTTTTGGGGTGGTTAAGATCTGCTTCGAAAAATCGACCCCCTCCAAGATACTCGAGTTTATCATCGAAATTTGCCACTTTTTCACATAAATCAGAAGCATTCCAAGACCGCAATCAAGAAATTTTTAAATTTCATGTTAAAAGCAACTTAATCGGTTTTACCCTATACTGCATCTTAAGTAACTGTAACGGCAAATTAGCCAAATCTTGATTTTACGCTCATTGAATAATTCTCCGGTTAATAAGAAATTAAAGGGAAGAACTTATTTATTCGAATTCAGTGTTAACGAATAAAAAAGTTAAATTACAAAAATTTTAAAAAATATTGCATATATTTAGGAGAAAATCTTCAAATTTTAGAAATTGTTGTGAATTTTAAATAAAATCTTCATTTCTTTCCCATTTTTAGTACGTTTTTTTTCATAAACATATTCAAAATCACAATTGGTTTATTTCCTGTTTATCCTATTTGTCATGATCATCTTCAATATCTTGTTCCTCTACAACTACTTGAGTAGCACCTTTTGCAATTTCTCTAATTAAATCGATATGTTTTAAAATACCTTTTTTAATACAATATTGTAAATTAATATTCGGTGAATATTTTATTTCTAACTTCCCTTTTATATTCAATTCCATCCAATTAGTCATTGACCATTGATCATTTTTTAATAATTCAAGAATTTCTAATTTATCCGAAAAATTATTAATTTTTTCAATAAATACCATAATAATATTTTTAATTTCGAATTGTTCATTAAATATAATATTCAATTTTTTTAATACATTCATAAATAATTCAAATTTATTTTTAATTTCTATTATATTTAATTTTTGCATTGGATTAACAATACAATATTCTTGTAATTTTAATATTAATAAAAATGTTGTCCATAAATCATAATATGGTTGAAAATTTAATTTAATTGTATTTATTTGTTCCAATGAAAATTCATTTAATTCAAATATCTTTTGTCTTTTCCATAATAATTCACCTAAAATTTCCATTTCACCTATGGATTTCATTAATTTTTTTACATTTAATTCATTTTCTTCAATTTTATTTAAATCGAAAATATTATTATTTTGAAATTCTATTATTTTTCCATTAAGAATTTCAATATTTTCTTTATATTTAATTAAATCATTTATTTGAACTTTTTTAAATATTTCTATATCAATTTTATATTGTTCATTTTTTTCATTAATTTTATTTTTAATATGTAAAGGGTAAGCGTATGTTTGCCATTTTAAATTAAATTGTTCATTTGTTAAATTATATAAAAAATAATCTAAAATATTATATTCAAAATTCATAATTTTAATTTTTTCATTTAAAATATCCAATTCATTTGGTATTATATTATCGTACCATATTTTAATTTCTAATAAATGTTCAACGGAATTTGATTTTTCAGTTAATTTATTAAAAATTAAATTAAGATTTTCATAGAGATTTTCATTAATTTCTTTCATTCTTTCAGTATAATAAATTAAAATTGCATTAATTATATCATCATATTTTTGAATTAAATAATTTTTTAAATATTGTATATCAATAAAAAATGGACCAATTATAATATTTTCTGGTAAAATTTCAATTAAATTTTCTTTTAAATTTTTATAATTAATTATAAATTGTTTCAAATTATTTGCATTTTGATTTTGATTTTTTAATTTAGTGATAAAATTTGGAATATTAAAATTGTATAAATCACAAAATTGATTATATTTCTTGGTATATGATATTAATGGTATTATTGCTTTTGTATAAGATTCAATTAAAATTTTCTTATTAAGATGAAATAATTCTTCAATATGATCACCACAATATAAATATAAATTTTTGGCAAATATTAAATTTTTCATAATTTTTGGATTTATTAATGGTATTGTGGTACATTGTACCAATGATCTAAATATTAATAAAAGAAAAAAAAAATTAACACTGTATAGAATTCATGAAACAATAGAAAAGAAATTTTAATTGACCTAGTTAGAAAATTTAGAAAGAGTTCTTATTTAATAAAAAAATGGTTTTTGTTCTTAGAATGTGCTTAAGCTTCAAATTGAATTCATACTTATGAAATTTCTCCTAAATGTATACCGTTTCTCAACTGTAATTCTATTCATAAATTTCTTTTTAACATGAAAAGTAAATGACAGGAATCATTCTATAATCCCAGAAATTCGACATAGAAATGCTTGGAATTTAATAAAATTTTTCTAATTCTAAAAATGTTATCTTTCAGATTTAAATTTTACATCAGTGATGCCACCCTGTAATATTTAAAGGTGGTTACTAAGATAAAGTAAAATAATATACATAACAAGCTGTCTACAACTGTCTGTTGTCTGCAAGTGACTTTTGCTTATATTGGTGGTTTAGCCAAGGCGCGTCAAGGCGGTTGCATATGCAAACGACATTGCTATCCTGGTTTCAAGGTTAGATCTTACAACGATTGGTAATGTATTGGGTGAATTGCTGACTAAGGTGAGCCTTTAGACCAAGGAATGTGGACTAAACCTAGTACTTTTTACGACAAAAGCCGAAATTCGGGAATTCCGGCTTCCCAGACTGGGTGGTCTTTCTCTCAATATTAGTTTGTTACAACTATTTATTTGGGTATTGTATTGCACCTACAAGAAAATGGTTGGAGTATCTACACCTACAAGAAAATGGTTGGAGTTGGTGGGAATTGAAATCAAGCATGGTTATGTGGTTATGCACCAATGTTGTGTGACAACTATAACAAGATATAGGTAGCTTTCAAAGTGCTGGGTGTATTAATGTTACTGAAGCATTGAGCTTATGGCCCACGTATACCTTAAATACCCTTTTCCATTTCTCATACAATACAGACACTGGTCATGTAAATCAAAAATCCTGAAAATTTGAATGGGCGGTCTTCAGTTTTCAGTTGGTATTTATTGAGAGCAAATTATATAATTAATCCGAATATAATTCAATTATTTTTATGTCTAACCCGGAACAGAAATTATTTTTTATAACATGTGGAAACTGAAGACCTATATAAGTATAAGATTTTCGATTCTAAAATTTAAAAATGTTAACTACATATACATATCTAATTACAATAAATTTTAAAATTTCTTTAACAGAGATTTTTTAAAATGTTTTGAATTTTAAAAATGTACTTACGTTTCATAAAAATTTAATAGAGCTGGTAAAAAATCATTTGGATTTGTTGATAAATGAGCACCAAATTCATCATTTATATTTAAAATAACATAAAATATTGTTGAATGTTGTTCACTTTGAAATTCACTTTTAATAAAATCATTTTTCCAAGTAAAATCATTTGAAATATTTTTCATTAGATTGCAAGGATTACATAAAATATTTATAAAACTTGTTATTGAATTTTCAATAAAAAATTGTAATGAATTTTCCATTCTTAATTGAATTTGTTTTAAAAATTTAAATATTTTTGAATTTTTATAAATATACCAATCTTTTATTTCAATATCAAAAGAACAACCTTTATGATTATGTTGGAAATTATGGTGATTTTTTGAATTTAGTATATTATAAACTTGTTTTGTAATATTTTCAATCCAATAATTTTTAATATATAAAATTGTATTATTAACAAAATGTAATTCATTATTTAAGAACTCATTTAATGTCTTTGATTTTTTGAACTTAAATGAAAATAAGCTCATATTTTTTAAATTAAAACATTCTTCATTAACTTTAATTATAGCATTTATAGATTTTGGACAATTATATATTGTTAAAAATAATAAATTTTCTTTTTTAATATTAAAATTATTAATTAATTCTTTTATTAATTTATTAAATTTTATTTTGTTTGAATTTATTTTAATTTCTGATCGTTGTATTTTTCTAATATTATTTAAAAATTTAAATTCTAATTGTTTTTCTAAATATTTTTCAAAACCATAACTTAAATTATGCCTGATAATTTGTATTTTAATTTGTTCTCTTAAAAATTCTAAAAAATTTTCATTAAAATATTGCAATTTTCTTTGTAATAATAATTTTGATGATGGTAATACTAAACTAAATATATTTTTAATTAATTTTTCAATAATTAGTCTCTCAAAATTTTTATATTGAAATCTAAATTCTTCTGATTGATTTAAATATAAAAATGTATCCAAAATTAATTCAAATTTTATTGAATTTTGATATTCATCGCGTAGTTGAAGGGCTTCCTTTAAACGTTTAACAAAATTTTTAGGATTTTCTGCTATAAATTTAATATAAATTCGATTTATATTATATAATTTATAAGTTTCCAGATCAGTAATTAGCCATACATCCGAATTTTCATTGTAATTCCAGACTGCAATTGAACGCCATTCATATAAATTTGAATGAAATGTTGTTGGTATTGTTGTTGCCGTTGTCGTTTTCGTTGTCATTGTATTTTCTTCATTAATATTAAAATATTTAATTAATTTTTCTGGAATATTTTCAATTAATTTAATTTCATCATTTTCATATGGTATATTTGGTATGAAACCTAATGCAGGCAAAGGATAATTTTCATTACCAATTTTACCTAAATTAATCCAATCAATTTCATTATATTCATCGAAATCTTTATTATCAAACCAATGTAAAGGTAAAAAATTTTCTAAATTATAAATATTTTCTGATTTAAAATAACTTGAATAGATTTTTTCAATTATTTCAATCGGATACAATTGAATATTATCAATTTTCGCATCTTTTAATAATTGATAAAAATTTATGTTTGAATATTTTTTACGTTTACGATATATGGCAACATCTTTTGGGATTGTTGATTTTTTTACAACACGGGATTGCTGAATTTTCGGAGCTATTGTTTGTAATGGAAATTTTATATTGTAACGAGTTTGAAATGTTATCCATTTTTGTGCTTTTTCCAATTTATCAGATAGGACAATTGATTTTAAGTTTGTATTAAAATTAAAATATTTGTCAGTTTTAATTTGCCATGAATATTTTGGATAAATTATTGGTGATTCACAATTATTCATATGGGTTTTTTCATCTTCAAATTGCTCTGACATTCCTATACGTATTTTATAATATTTATAATTTTTATTTTGATTGACAATATTTTGAAAATATAATACAAAATTAATTATGATGAAAAAAAAAATAATTTTATTCATAGCATGAAACTAAAATTTCCACACTCGGATATGTCGTAGCAGCCAAAAATATTTAGATCAAATTCTAGATTAAAACTTCAAAAGGTTCAAAAAAATATTAACTAAATTTCATAATGAAAATCCGGATATACGAATTCATATTCTTGAAAACAGTGAAAAGAGCTGAAACTAATTTTTGAACTAAATCAAGACTTCCCACTTTAAAGATATTTTAATTTCTTTAAAAATTTTTTTTACAAAACTAAAATTTTGTTAAATAATTCTTGATTTTTACATAAATCATTAGGGGCCCAAAACCGCACTGTCACCTCCTAGTGGTGGGTCGCGTTAATGGCAGAGGATAAGGGGATGATTGAAACGATCAAAATTACGTGTCGTGATCATGTCTCGCGGCGAGCCTCTTGCTTTGTGAGTTTTAGCCCTATATCTATACGTCAGTTGACGACAGGCGTCCCAAGTCAAGGTGGAACAGCATATGCCGATGACAGCGTGGCTAAGGGGGAGCTTAGTCGTTAGTATGCGGACTCTGGATACCAGGCGCTCTCCAGTTTAAACGAGCCTTCTCATGGTATGCCAGGCTCTGCCATGGGCGACTATACTTTCCCGCGTTACTCGTGGGAACAAAATGGAGAACATAAACAATAACAACAACAGCAACAACAAGACCAACAACTGTGACAAATACAAGAGCTGCAACAACAACAAGAATAACAACAGTGACTATTACAACAACAACAACAATACTAAGGACAACATTAATACAAACACAGCTAGTACTCAAGGGTCTGTGGAACCAGAGCTTCTCTCGAATGACGCAGAGGAGGAACTCCCTCTCACGCCAGTAGAGGAAATGGCGGCGCCTCCGATGGAGACGGATAATCAGGATCCTCTTTGACCTGATGCAGGGCCCTCAAAAAAGAGGTCGATGAAGGGCAATGTTGAGGGAAAGATCCCTGGGAACATTCCTCAACAAAATCCGAAAATTACTTCTTAACGGGATGCAGTAGAACAGGTCATGGTGGCCATCACTCATAAACTGCTTCCAGAGGAAAGGCTATCCGAAGTCCAGATGGGGAAAATCAAAGTAGCCATCATGGATGAAATGGATAAAGTTGTGGACTCTCATCCACAATTCACTGCAGCGTTGCAAAGGGATGGATGGATATCCGTAACATGCAACAATCAAAACACCAGGGAGTGTATAACCAGTGTCTGCAGGAAGATAAAGTCTTGGGACGGTTGCAACGTCGTGGTACTGGATGGCGACGACATGCCCAAACAGCATGTCTGCGTCACCTACGTGCCAAAGGACGAGACAACCGTCAGTCTCTCCAGGGACAAATTTCTAAGTAGGATAGGGAAGCAAAATCCCAGCCTCAAGATGAGTTCCTGGAGGGTGCTGAGGATGGATAAGGAAAAGGACGGGGGCTGCTCCATCACTTTTTCCGTGGATGATTCCGGATTGGAAGATCTACGGAAAGAAGAATTTCGACTTTTCCTGAACTTCTTCCGTGTTACCGTTCGGGTTAAAGGAAGAAAATCCTCTCAAGGTGCTGGCAGCAGGGCAGGACAAAATAAAAAACCAACGCCCACCGCGACAACGACAAGCACTTCAGGCCAATCACAAGAGCCAAAACTCATTGGAAAGTCTGAAGTCACTACGAAAACGGCGGACACGGAAAGACCATCGACCAGCGCGCCGGACACAAGCGTCCCGGGTGAACCAAAAGGGCCCAAGCTCATTGGGAAGCCCGATACTGCTTCGGTATTTGCTGTTGGAGGGACTAGTGTGGTACCTAGGACGGCAAAAGAGGATGTGGCAGGGCAGGCGCCCACCAAGATGCGTAAAAAGGCGGCAATGGGAAGCAAGGCCCATGTAAAGCCTTTATCTAAAGGACAACAGCCCATAGACAAGAGCCGGAGGAAATGATACGGCTGTGAGGTGCATCCAAATAAATCTACAGCATGCTAGGGCATCTACTGATGTTCTAGCTCATAGATTTATGAAGGATCACCTCGATATCGCCCTTATTTAAGAGCCTTACATAGTGAAGGATCAGGTTGAGGGCCTAACAGGTGAGCTATTGTATGATTATACAATTGGGGGCAGGCCTAGGGCTTGCATTTTGTTTAGTAAAAGGCTAACGTATTTTCCCATTCCAGATTACTGTTCTAAGGATCAGGTAGCTGCGATGGCGAAGGTGATCGCAGTAGGGTTAGTGGATGGCATGTCTCACATGAGACATCCATGTCCGTCATCCTGGTCCAGGAGGGATGACTGCCAACGATCCCGTCTGGTCTTCACGATGGGCAGGATTAGATGGGCTGTTTTCTCTTTCAGGCCCTTCAAATCTCCAGGTGATGACGGGATATATCCTGCATTTTTGCCGAGGGGTTTCCAACATATCGCCAGAGCACTGATGGAAATTTTTCGTGCCAGCTATGCGTGGGGTTACATCCCTCAGGCATGGCTAAAGTGATGTATATTCCGAAGGCGAGTAAGCGACCAAGCAGCCACCCTAGGTCTTTCCGTCCAATCAGCCTTACTTCTTTTCTATTGAAAGCAATGGAAAAAGTGATTGATAGATTTATACGGGACGATGCACTGGGAAGCAATCCCTTGCATGAATCTCAGTACGCCTATCAGTCGGGGTGGTCTACTGTACTCGCTCTGCAGAGTCTGGTGGGGGTCCTTGAGAACTCACTGGAAGTGCGGAAGGTGGCAGTTGGCTGCTTCCTTGATATAGAGGGAGCTTTTGACAACACCCCATATCATGTCATCTGTGAGTCGTTGCGCAAACGAGGGATTGATGCGACGACTAGCAGATGGGTTAATCGAATGTTACAGGATAGGATTATTAAGTCCACCATAGCTGACGATATATTCTTCATCTCCGTGGCAAAAGGGTGTCCGCAAGGGGGGGTCTTTCGCCACTCCTGTGATCCATTGTAGTGGTTGATCTAATCGCTGCTCTCAAGGGCTCCGGGGCACACGTCTGGCGATACGCCGACGATGTGGCCTTCGTCGTACCCGGAAAATTTGAGAAAACTATTTCTGATCTTCTACAGCAAAATTTACATATTGCGGAGAGCATTTTGGTCGCCTTCACCAGACGCAGAAGCAGGCATAGATTAACGAGCCCAATTCTGTTTGGTGAACGTATTAGTTACTCTAGGGAGGTGAAGTATCTGGGGGTAACCCTGGATGATCGTCTCTCCTGGAATACCCATATAGGAACAGTTATCGAGAGGCTACGGCGGCCTTGTGGACGTGTAGAAGCTTCATCGGGGGGACCTGGGGAATTAGTCCCAGAATAGCATTGTGGCTATATACGGCCCTTGCTAGGCCCATCGTCACCTATGCGTCGATTGTATGGTGCCGTAAGGCTCAGCAGGCGGGTGTGCGGGCCAAGCTGGAAAAGGTACGGAGGCTGGTCTGCCTCGGAGTGACCGGGGCAATGCGGACGGCTCCTACCGCTGCATTGGAGGTGATGATCGGGTTGTCGCCACTACACCTCAATATATTGAAGCAAGCTCGACTAGTGACTTACCGACTTCTCTCTAGCGAGGACAGGGCAGGGCCAAAGTTGGCCCACAGGACTCACAGAGACTTCATTGAGAGCGATCCGATTCTAAGAATAACCATGTACTGTCTGCCGCGGTAAAACATCGATCGCAGGTACAGGGTTCTGTTTCCCGATCGATGGACGTGAGATCGAGGTGGCCCGGTACTTGAGTCGGGCTCGAGCGTGTGGTATGCGGATGGGTCCAAAACGGAGTCGGGTGTGGGTTCGGGTGTATACGATTTCCGCCCGGACACGCGTGTATATGCAGCCCTTGACCCGTATTGCACAGTGTTCCAGGCTAAAATACATGTAATAGAGATCTGTCTGAGAATCAATTTAGAAAGGGGGTATAGAAACCGCACCATCTATGTGTTCTCGGATAGCAGGGCTGCACTGCTGGCGCTTTGTTCAGCTCAGGTTACATCCAAGCTGGTCTGGGGCTGCCTTGCTGCACTTATGGAATTGGCATCGGAGAACAAAGTCACGCTCATTTGGGTGCCGGCCAATACAACGATATTGCCGATGGGTTGGCACGGAGGGGATCTGGGGCTGACTTTGTGCAGCCGCTGCCTTTCTGCGGTCTGGCCGCTTCCGCCGTGGGGGCCAGGCTTTCCTGCCTGCTCGCGGCGGAATGCGGACGTCACTGGTGGGGTACAAAAGGGTGCCGTCATGCGAAAGTCTTTCTTTCGGCGTGCTCCAACGGATTCGCCGCAGAGTTCGCACTATTGCGAATTTCTTCGCGGGGCACTGCCCAGTGAAATACCACCTGCATAGGCTGGGGAAGTCGGGCTCCCCCCTGTTCAAATTTTGTGGGGGTGGCGATGAGACCGCCGTGCACATTCTTTGCGACTGTCCGGCACTGGCTGTTCGGCGCCGCAATTGTCTTGGACGTGGGTCCCTTAGTGTTCGGGAATTGTTGTCCAACTCCCTTAGAGATATCTCCGACTTTGTGGTTGGGACGAGGATATTATAGGCGGGAGCGTGGGAAGGCTACAATAAGTCAAGAATGGTTGCGGTGGCTTGGGGGGTTACTCCTGTCCCACTCGGTTCCTTTAAAATCTACAATCTACATAAATCATTAAATGAATAATAAAAGAAAAACTGTAAAACTTTTATAAAATTTATAGAGAAATAAAATTTATCTCTAAACATTACAAAGAAATTAAAATTAAATTAAGACCACGTCATAAAATAAATTATTACATATTGTAGCTTCATTTATGCATTCCATAAATGAAATTTATTAAAAATGGTTCAAAGGAATTCATTTTCTTGAACCATCTTATAGAAATGTTCATTTTTCATGTTGAAAATCATCTATATTAAAATTT